CATGAACGTGCAGTACATGGTCATTTCAGTAATTACGAGTAGTATCATATATTAATCATTTTAATCATAACGCTTTGAAATTCATTTGATTCAAATCTAATCGGAAAATAATTACCTATATTTGTTAAAAAGCTGTTCTAATGGCCAACGCTACATGTTTCTTCAATCAAAACACGTGGGCCATGGGTTTTGATTACCCGTGCGTTACTACGTGTATTTGTTGCCTGCATTATCGCGCATATTAGTTTTTATCGACATTTTGGTTTTAAAATACCATTCAAATAACTATCGAACTTAATAAGATGTGAAAGGATATTTTTTCGTCGTCCTTCATTAACACATTTATTACCGTCCAGTGGTTTTTCTCCGCGTTGTATTGAAGATCTTGGGGTGTACATGCACTCATCGTAATAGCATATAGGAAAGTAATTTGACGTTATTAGTCAAGGACTTTTGATAACTGCAGTTGTTTTAATTGATTGTCAATTATTTATATTAAATCTAACTATTTTATATTAATCTACCCTGTTGTTCGTGAGATAAAGACATAACGCTGATTAAACGGATATAGACAAGGGAGGTAACTTTTATTATATACAAATTCCGCGAACTCAAGAAACCGCGATCGTGTCAGATAAGAGAAAAACGTGAAAATTACAACCCGTGAAATTAATCCCCTATACAGTATTCAGTCTCTATCTTTCTTCGTTCAAAAGTTATGGCGGAGGTTAAAGTTTGCCGACAAAAAGCTATATTTAGCATATAGGTCACAGTCTAGGTCACAAGGTCATTGACCTTGGTATCACGTGAAAGGGCTTAATCAGTGGTGTATGCATACAAAATATGAAGTCTGTATCTTTTATGGTTCAAAAGTTATGGCGGAGGTTAAAGTTTGCCGACAAAAACTATTTTTAGCATATATGTCACAGTCAAGGTCACAAGGTCATTGACCTTGGTATCACGTGAAAGGGATTAATCAGTGGTGTATGCATACAAAATATGAAGTCTCTATCTCTTATGGTTCAAAAGTTATGGCGAAGGTTAAAGTTTGCCGACAAAAACTATTTTTAGCATATACCTGTAGGTCACAGTCAAGGTCACAAGGTCATTGACCTTTGTATCATTTGAAAGAGATTAATTAGTGGAGTATGTTTACCAAATTCGATGTCTCTTTCATTCATGGTTCAAAAGTTATGGCGAAGGTTATAGTTTGCAGACAAACAGACAAACAGACAGACAGACAGGACAAAAACAATATACACCTCGATCTTTCGATTCCGGCGCATAAAAAAGTCTAGCATTTTGAATGTTTTGCTGAGCGGGCATAAAAAAAATCGATGTTGGACCGCTGAGTGAGATGTTGGACCGCTTACGTCACAGAATGGACGGAGCTTAATCTCATTTTCATTCGTTGGTGTTAATCAATGACAGACCTTATGTTACATCATGGAATACAGTACAAAAACATGTATGTCAAAAAAATAAAATAAATTGAAACGTATAACAAAACATATATTGACAGAGTTCTCGGGCAAAATGCATTTTGTTGGACCCTCGAACCAAACCAAGGTCAACCAGACAGTTTGGTTAACGTTCTTGGGTCCGACAAAACGCATGACTTGGCCTCGAACTCAGTCAATAAATGTATACTGCTGCATAGGTAAGGGAAGTTGACAAGGAAAAAGTTAAAGTCCTCATGTTTATCATAGAACTTGGTTGTTATATTACCATTAACGTCTTTTTCAAGTAAAATATCCAAGTATGAAACAGATGTGTCAGACTCTGTGGTATCTTTTATCTCAAGCTCACCAGGATATATGCTATCGACAAAGAAATGGAACTTACCATTGTTAATTGAAAATGCGTCGTCGATATATCTATTACATAAGGTATGATATACTTACTCTTCCACAGCATTTCTACTTCTTCTACTTCTATTTCTTTACCTGTAAGAGGTCACCGACCCATCACACAAGTTTGACGTCAGCCAAGAGGTGTATTTTAAAATCATCTATTCACAGTAGTAGTGCAGGATAAAAGCAATTTTGGCTCTGGTGTTTATTTGAGATGAACTACAAGTCTGGTCTTAATGACTCGTAGTTCAGTAAATCGGGTGGTAGATCGTTCCAATCCCTGATAGTTCTGGAAAAGAAGCTGTTCTTATATTGTTCTCCAGTGGATCTTAGCCTAATAAAACGTTTCTGATGTGTTCTTCTAGTTGATCTTTCTGATGTTTGGATGTAGTCAGGTATTGGTATTTCAGTTTCTTGATGTAGTATTTTATGAAACATGAGAAGACGTGATGTTTTTCGCCTTAACTCAAGAGTTGGTAAGTTCAATTTATCTAAAAGTGAGGTAATTGTTCCTGGGTCTTTTGAATATTCCCTTGCAATGAATCTGGCAGATCTTCTTTGAACCATTTCCAGTTGTTGTATATGTTTTTGTAGATAAGGATCCCATACACTACTTGCATATTCCAGATGTGGTCTCACTAATGCCAAGTATGCTTGATGCTTTATTTCTTGGGGAAATTTCCCTAGATTTCTCCTGACAAGTCCGAGTGATCTTGTTGCTTTGGTGGTTATGTTGTTTATGTGATGGTCCCATGAGAGTGTTGATGTCAACTCTACTCCAAGGTATGGGTTATATTCTACTTTATCCAGAACATGTCCATTCATGTTGTAAGGGAAATCTATGATGTTTCGTTTTTTGCAGATACGAAGAACGTAACATTTGGTGGCATTAAAAACCATTTGCCATTTTTTTTTTGCCCAGCGAATAAGAGATGTTAGGTCTTTCTGCAATTTTTCACAGTCACTCTTGGAAGAAACAGCAAGATATAATAAGCTCTCATCAGCAAACAATCGGATAGATGAGGTGATGTTATTACCAATGTCATTAATGTATAACAAAAACATCAGGGGGCCAAGGACTGTTCCTTGGGGGACTCCAGACTTCACATGGACTGATGAAGATTCCTCACCATCTACAAGTACCCTCTGTTGCCTTGTTACCAGCCATGACTCTATCCAACTGTTGATGTTTCCACTGATGCCGTCATGGTCCAACTTTAGAAGAAGTCTTTTGTACGGCACTGTATCAAAAGCCTTGCTAAAGTCTAGTGTCAAGAGGTCTACCTGTTGTTTTTGATCTAGTTTGCGTGATATCTCTTCTACTGTTATGATAAGTTAAGATTCACATGATCTTCTTTGTCTGAATCCATGCTGAAATTCCACTAGTATTTGATGTTTTTCAAGGTGTTCCATAATGTGCTTAAACATGATGTGTTCCATTATTTTACAGGGGACTGATGTCAATGAAACTGGCCGATAGTTTTCCGGTTTACTTTTGTCTCCCTTTTTAAATAAAGCTATGATATTCGCTGTCTTCCAATCATCGGGTACATTCTTTGTTTGGAGTGTTTTCTTAAATATAAAAGTCAGGTAAGGTGCGATCTCTTTTGCAGCTTCCTTTAGTATCCGACAGGATATTTGGCCCGGTCCACTAGCCTTTGCTACATTGACACTATGCAGTAAATTTGATATTCTTTCTACGCTGATGTGTAAATCTCCAAAGACTGGTGCTACCGGTGTTCCAAGGTCTGGTGTTGATTGGAGATCTTCCACTGTGAAAACTGATTCAAATTGGTTGTTCAGGGCCTCAGCTTTCTGTTTGCTGCCTTCTATGCTTGTGTTGTTTACCTTAAGTGTGGACACCCCACTATTATCCCTCTTTGCATTTTTGATGTATGAACAGAATCTTTTGCTGACTCCGGCTTTCACACTGGGGTTATTGTCACTTTTGGTCGTGTCTGACGATGTATTCAACAGGTTTCCGATGTATTCTTGATGTCCTTTCTCTAGTTCTGCTTTCACTTGCCTGCGTAGTTCTCTAAAGTGTTCCCAGTCCTCTTCCTTTTTGGTTTTTTCTAGCTTTATTATAGCATCTTTGTTTCCGCCTGATTGGTTGCTTGATGGTTCTATTAATCCAGGGAATGTTCCATCTGGTAGTTAGCATTTTGGATGGGATGTACTTATCCAGTAATGATTTCAGGATGTTTTTAAAAGAACTCCAACATTCATCTACTGGTGTATTGATATTATCATTACTGAAATTGTGATATCTGCTATCCAGTTCTTTCCTAATCCCTTCCTTGTCTCCTCTCTTATATACATACACTTTCCTCGGTCGTTTCTTATTTGGTCTTGTCTGGATGTCTATATCGAGTACTACTGCCTGATGATCACTCATACCGTCTTCAACAGATATGCTTTTGATTAGATTGGTGTTGGTGGTAAGTACAAGATCTAAGATGTTGTTCTCACGAGTTGGTTCTCTGACACACTGATCTAGATTGTGGTCCCCTACTACTTGTAGAAACGTATTATTGATTTCATAGTTATATTGTGACCTTCGTTTTATAGTTGTTGCATTGTCAGCCCAGTTAATATCGGGTAAGTTGAAATCTCCTGTCAGTAGTAGATTTGGTAGTGTCTTTCCATGATTGAGTCTATTCAGGGAGATGTTAAGCTTCTAATGCTTCTGTGTCGTTATCTGGGGGCCTATAAAAACACCCTGTATACAGGGGTTTACTGCCCTGCACTTGTAGGTTTGTCCATGCTATTTCACAATTGGTCTCTAATGTTGTTTCTCCACAAGCTATGATATCTTTACGCACTGCATTAAGTACTCCCCCACCTGCATGTCCTTCAGTAAAGAGTCTGTCTTTGCTTTGCACTTCGTAAAAGTCTGGATCTAAGAATTCTGATGTTTTTATAGACTTATCAAGGTAGGTTTCAGTTGCATGTATAATATGTGGATTGTAATGATCTATTCATGACATGAACTGGATAGCAGATATCACAATTTCAATAATGATCATTTGACCCCATTCCCATCACCTTTGGTAGTTGAACTTATTCTCCTGTGAGTACTTACAGTACTTTGATTGATGATAACATCGGGCTCAAAAATATTGTTGGAAGTCACATGATATCAAGATGTCGGCTCTCCGAGTTGCATGGTTTGGAGGGTTGATTTCAATAGGTGCATGTGTTATTACAACAAGTTTAAATGGAGTTTGGATTGTGTCAAATGAACAAAGTAAATATTGCTGCTATTGCATTTGTATTTCAAGTGCATTAACACCTTTAAATTATTTTATAAAGATAAATACACTGTTGTGGTCCCAGGGTGGTATTGTTTACATTTTGAACAATTTGATCAGCTCTAGATAACAGATATCCATGTGCTGTACCGTTTTTAAGTTTAATAAATTTTTTTCATATCCAGCTGACATCTTAAATTTCAAAAAGGAGTTGTTGCACATTACTGTACAGACATGGTAAACATGCATGCACTTAGCATGCTAAAGTGCAGTAATAAGATAAGGGGAACTACTTTACTAATATAAATCACCTGAACAGATGCTGTAGACTTATTCAGTCAAAATAGTGTGTGATGACTAACGATAAGGCCATCTGACATTCTATTCTTTTTTGAATTGCTACCTATTTGCATATAGTATGTACTAATTTTTCTGTAATTGTTTCAACCCATATTATGATAATAACAAGGGATGTCAGTAACTTAATCCAAAGAATCATATCACATCTTGTTGACAGGCACAAAATCTTAGGCCTAGAACAAACTTGATGCTTTGTGTCTAGTATAATTTGATTTGTGCCCATCAACTCAACGTAATAGGGCTGACTTTAGATTAAGCTGATGATGATATAGATGTATATTGTGTACTGTAAATTTTATCAGAGAACATCAACATTACTGGGCAGGTCCCTGGCAGCATGTATACCGCACTGATAAATAACAACGTAATCCAGGATCCATATTACCGTGACAACGACCTGAAGTATCGCTGGATCGGGCGAGATGATTGGATGTACAGCAGGGTGTTTAATGGTAGGACAGTATTCAATCATGTCATGTGTAAAACTGGCAATATCTTAATTCAGACAGAATTTCTATTGGAATCCATAGAAAAATGTATCAAAATGAGTAGTTAATGGTATTTTATATACATGCATCCACATTGTGATATTAATGCAATACAAACCTTGACCATGACAAACATGTAAATATAAACATGATAAGAAAACTGGTTGCCAAAAATAGGTCAAAAATGAAAGCATGATCATGTTATATGGCATGTCATAAAAGACAGATAATAATTCTAAACATGACAGCAGATTCTCTGTAATATTTTTATGTGTGAAATGTATTTAACCAGAGGAAGAAATTTCTGTTACAGTGACCTCAGAAATGATGCGGATGACCAATGTTAAGTTGGTCAGTGAGGGGCTGGACACGTTTGCCACGGTCATGATCAATGGTCATCTGGTGGGGGAGACAGACAACATGTTCCTCCAGTACGTTATGGACATCAAACCTTACATCAAAGTAGGCAGCTTCAAATTCAACAGTAAAATTATATTTATATACATATACAATGTGAATACTTGATATCGCGATTACTCAACACTGCGGAACTCTTTCGCGATGGAGGTAGGAAATGTCTTTTGAGTGGGGACAAATGTGCTATTGAATACAATGCAAGATCGGTCATTGTAGAGTTTATAAGGACATTTGAGTAAAAAATCCTAGTGGAATACCTTGCTTAAAAATTGCTGAACCAGCCTAATTAATTTTTCAAATGAGCTAATCCTAAAATGTTACATTTTTAACGATATTTATAACTAAGCGGACTATTCTCATTAAATTTTCATTGAAAATCGTCACATTTTAAAGATGATAAAATATTCTAAACTTTCCTTAGTTGATAATCTTCTATTTGGAGTCCAATTCTTGGCAATATTGTACTTTCAGCATTAAATTGATCGAATCATTAATAATAATAATAATAACTAGAGCAAAGCTCGTTGCAAAGCAACGAGTAGGTCTTCCGTCATGTTTGACCGGAAGTGGCTTTCATTTTTAACAGAAATGAGAAATAACGTCCAAAAAAGGTTTGATTCCTCTAAATCCATGTTAATTATTGCAAAAATAAGCCATTTTCTGTTACTTCCGGTTTGACCGGAAGTGACGACGACGGACGGAAAATTAATTATAATGCACCCAGAGACATATGTTACCAGAAAACTTGTCAAGAACGGCAAAAATACGCGTTTTCCGACTACTTCCGGTTTGACCGGAAGTGATGACGCCGGACGTATTTTGACGACTTCAATAGATTGAGCTTGACATTTTGAACAATTTTGCTTCTTTGACGTATCACAAATTCTCAATACTTTTTGAGATAGAAAGAAAAAACTTTCGGCCCCTCCAGGCCCCTGATTTAAGGGGCCAGCTCTTTTTTCGAGATGTCATTTGAAAGATCTTGAAATTCTACACCTTTTTTGTTCTACATGCTTTAACAAAATATTTCTAGGTAAAAAGTTATCGTTGAAAAAGTGCTTAAAATTTTGAAATTCTTGATAGGACTATTTTCGGGCCATAGCGAACGTCGGCGCTTCGTACTTCCGGTAGTTGTGATATACTTAGTGCACTTCTCCAAAAGTTGCTCTAGCATCACTGAAAATTTGAAGCTTCTGTGTTAAGTGCTTTTTGAGAAAACTGCCGGACAAAGTGACCCTCTAAAAATCACTAAATCGCAGAAAACTCCGAACCGGAAGTGACGTCATCAAAATAAAAAAATATATGTCTAGGTTTTTTGATGTTCTATCAGACCTGAAAGTTTCATGAAAATCGATCGAGCCGTTCTCGAGAAATCGCGTGTACAAAATCAGTAAGAAAAAAAAACAATAATAATAAAAATAGTGGAAAAGAAACCTAAGAAAAACTAGAGCAAAGCTCGTTGCAAAGCAACGAGTGGGTCTTCCTTCCTAGCGATAAGCAAAAGATTAAATGTTTCTGTCTAGATTGTCAACTTTGCTAACATTCTCTTTTTCGATTTGTCTCAAAAACCCTTACTTGAATTCTTTAATTTGGTGTGAGCATGAGGTCTAAAGGGTACTCTCTCTAACAGCATTCTTGAAATCGTATCCACAACAGTTTAACTTCCAATATTATGACTTTTGATATCGGATATATCATGTTTGTTGCAATTAAGTTTGTGAAACATGTCATACTACAGAAACATAAGTGTTTTGCTACATTACCATCTTAAAAATGGCTTTAAAATTATTTAATATACAATATAACTAGATAAATAAAATAAACAAATTATATAATAATTCAAAAAATCCAAATGTATTTACAATAATGATGAACAATCTTCATTAGTTGCAATCAGTAAGTAGAACAATACTTTTATAATGAAAGAAAAAGTGAGCTAGCTCACATACCCCACGCTCCCCCAAAACTTGATGGTGAAACACATAATGAAAGGCACAGTGCACTTTAAATACATAGTATAGATCAAAAAGGGCAATACACACTGTTTGCATGATTGTAATCAGCAATGAGTCCTCTACCAAAATTGTGAAATTCATGGCCCTGGGGTCAGGGGTTCTAGTGCTAGATGGGGCTAAATAAGAAGTTAGTGAAAATGCATTATTTCTTTGAAAATCTTCTTCTCTGCTCCTGGGTATTAAATTGTAATTGCAAAAAAATCTTCACATCAAAATGTCTTACATATGAGGACATTTAAATGTGGAATGAAGTTTCTAGATAAATAATGGAATCAAAATATATATATCTCTATATTCTAAATATGGCTAAAAAGTCTAAGTTGGAAAGTGTGGAAATTCCCGGAAAAATAAAGGAATCAGAATTTCCTGGTAATATGCAAATCTACACATTGTGTCCTAATCACCTGCAAAGTTTGACGAAATTCTGTGCAGCGGTTTAAGAGGAGTTGCGCTGACAAACTGTTCATCTCTATATTCAAGGTATGGCCAAATGCCTAAGTTAAAAAGTGAGAAAATTCCCGGAAAAATTAAAGGAATCGGATTTTCCTGGTAATATGCACATCTACACATTGTGTCCTAAATACCTGCAAAGTTTGACGAAATTCTGTGCAGCGGTTTATGAGGAGTTGCGCTGACAAACTGTTCATCTCTATATTCAAGGTATGGCCAAATGCCTAAGTTAAAAAGTGCGGAAATTCCCGGAAAAATAAAGGAATCGGAATTTCCTGGTAATATGCATATCTACATATTGTGTCCTAAATACCTGCAAAGTTTGAAGAAATTCTGTGCAGCGGTTTATGAGGAGTTGCGCTGACAAACTGTTCATCTTTATATTCAAGGTATGGCCAAATGCCTAAGTTAAAAAGTGCGGAAATTCCCGGAAAAATAAAGGAATCGGAATTTCCTGGTAATATGCATATCTACATATTGTGTCCTAATCACCTGCAAAGTTTGACGAAATTCTGTGCAGCGGTTTATGAGGAGTTGCGCTGACAAACTGTTCATCTCTATATTCAAGGTATGGCCAAATGCCTAAGTTAAAAAGTGCGGAAATTCCTGGAAAAGATAAAGGAATCGGAATTTCCTGGTAATATGCAAATCTACACATTGTGTCCTAATCACCTGCAAAGTTTGATGAAATTCTGTGCAGCGGTTTATGAGGAGTTGCGCTGACAAACTGTTCATCTCTATATTCAAGGTATGGCCAAATGCCTAAGTTAAAAAGTGAGAAAATTCCCGAAAAAATTAAAGGAATCGAATTTTCCTGGTAATATGCACATCTACACATGTGTCCTAAATACCTGCAAAGTTTGACGAAATTCTGTGCAGCGGTTTATGAGGAGTTGCGCTGACAAACTGTTCATCTCTATATTCAAGGTATGGCCAAATGCCTAAGTTAAAAAGTGCGGAAATTCCTGGAAAAGATAAAGGAATCGGAATTTCCTGGTAATATGCAAATCTACACATTGTGTCCTAATCACCTGCAAAGTTTGACGAAATTCTGTGCAGCGGTTTATGAGGAGTTGCGCTGACAAACTGTTCATCTCTATATTCAAGGTATGGCCAAATGCCTAAGTTAAAAAGTGAGGAAATTCCCGGAAAAATAAAGGAATCGGAATTTCCTGGTAATATGCATATCTACATATTGTGTCCTAAGTACCTGCAAAGTTTGAAGAAATTCTGTGCAGCGGTTTATGAGGAGTTGCGCTGACAAACTGTTCATCTCTATATTCAAGGTATGGCCAAATGCCTAAGTTAAAAAGTGCGGAAATTCCTGGAAAAGATAAAGGAATCGGAATTTCCTGGTAATATGCATATCTACATATTGTGTCCTAATCACCTGCAAAGTTTGACGAAATTCTGTAAAAAGTGCGGAAATTCCCGGAAAAAATTATGGAATCGGAATTTCCTGGTAATATGCACATCTACACATTGTGTCCTAAATACCTGCAAAGTTTGACGAAATTCTGTCCAGCGGTTTATGAGGAGTTGCGCTGACAAAAAAAGAGGACTGACTGACGGACTGACTGACGGACTGACTGACTGACTGACGGACGGGTCAAAAACATTATACCTCCCGCAACTAGTTGCGTGGGGTATAATAAACGCACAGAAATGTGTTGTGTATGTTTCGAATTTGAAGCTTTCCACTAGCAACTGGTGGTACCTCAATAGGAGTGTAAAATTCTCTGAAAGGTATATTGTGAACATATTACATATGGCTGTGTATTATTTTTTAGCGGCTTTGGCGGAATGCAGCAATCACTAAATCAAGTACAAAGCTAAAAGTCTTGTACATAAACATAAATAAGAATATCTACGCTAACTTATTCAAAAGTCAATTTCCACCAAATATTGTACAAGCTAAATATAATACATTTACAGCATTAAAGAAACAAATCTCTTTGAAGGTATTGCCCTGCATAAGAACAATTTGAATCCCCTACACTAAGGATGCTCTGTGCCAAGTTTCACTTTGGTTCTGGAAAATGATATTGTGAAATTTTAGACAATGATGATAATGGATAAAATTATGTTTTTAAAAAATTTACTGGTTCCTTTAGCTCAGATGGGCTAATAAGTATGCAACAGGCACAGTTTTGGAGTTGACATTGAAATGCGACTGGACATCTCTTCAATCTTGTTTTAGAAAACTACATGTACATGCCCTATGTACTGAATTCCTTGGAATCATACACATGTTTATGCCTTTAATTAGTTGTATGTGCCAAAATAACAATTTTTTTTACATTATACTGTAAAAAATACACATACATGTATTACAAGATCTTATATTCCTGCTGAAGACAGAGGATCTATCTTAATCATTAGAATAAGTAAGTCTAAACTTTGAAAGGGAAGACCTTAATAAAGAGGTCAACATGCTACACAAACAAAATATTATTATATTTAAAAATAACATTTATTCCAATGTAATTACTGGTACATGTATTTCTGTTACAAAAACTATTTCACTTGAAAAATTGAGAGCAATTGATATGTTCATATTTGTGGATTTATGTTGTCAAATCAAAATTTAAAAATGATACACAGTGTGTTTAAAAATTGTATTCACAAACCAAAACTTGACTTATTTTCACTATGCTGTTTATTCCATGTCACATCCAAACAGATGATCTTCTGGCAAATCATGGTCATGCTTGGTATCAAAATTCAATATTCAGATGAGTCACACCTATCCAAAAGAAA